AAGAGTTGTCAAGAAAATCACAAAGCTGCCCCTTCTCCTGTACAATACAATTAAACTCATTCATCATTCCTGATCCAAACTCCATTGTGTTACATTGTAGATCAGAATTGACAGCATTACATGGATCTCCTCTTATAGACTGCCAATCTCCTACCAGCACTGTTCCTATACAACCTAAGACAAACCCACCAATCATTAAAAACCTGTTATCAACATGAAGCCTCTGTAGTAAGTACCTAAAAACAAAGTAGTAAAAAATATTCTTTAAGGCCTCCATACACTAGGCAACATGTTGCTCGCAACATCTGTGGTTACTTTCATCTTCTAAGCAACATGTTGCCAGAAATAGAACAGCCTTCTATTTCTGGCAACAAGATCAAAGTAACCACAAATGTTGCAAGCAACATGTTGCTTAAGGCCGATTTACACTGCAAAATTAACGTAAGGTAAGGCCATACATTAAGACAGGAAGTATGTATAAACCAATGGCCAAACATAAGAGTAGAGATAAGTTCAACTCTTACATTACGTAAACGGTTGCCATTGGTTTATACAGCACTTCCTGTCTAACGTATAGCTTTACCTTATGTTAATTTTGAAGTGTAAATTGGCCTTTAGTGTATGGAGGCCTTAAGATTGTTTTCACCACCCAGCACATATTTTTGGAGTTTATTAAGACTAATAAGTTCCTTTTACCTTCTAGTGCTTCATTTTTCTGGTGGTTGCTAAAGCATCTTAATTGTTAATTCTCTAATAAAATTTTTGAATGTGCACTGGTGAAAACTAGGTTATATATGCACATTATGCTTCAAAAAAATAAAATAAAAAGGGCAGTAGCAAAAAAGCCACGTAAGATAGCTTACAATGATCTGTCCAACCATTTAATCCAGGATACTTTGCCTTTTGTGAATATATATTTGCCTTTATACTAGCATAATTCTTGTATTCTTGCTATGCTCAATTTTATACCAGAAGATAATGTGCACCTCTCAAGTGAAAATAATTTTATATAGCTAGGAACAACTTTGGGATAAAGTCCCCAGCTAAGTCGCAAAGATTAATGATCAATAAACTATGATTATACTCCTTACATTGCAATGACACTCAATAGGTGCATTCCCAGTGTAGCAATAAAGATGTACGATTGATACTTTATAGTTAATCCAAAGTTTCCAGATAATACAGGATTCTCGAGTGTCTCGATGATAGCTGAAATCCATCCATTGATCACGAAAGCAAATATGAATATTAATGTGATCTAGAATATGCAATTACAATACAAGATGATTTATTGGCAAGAGTAATAAATTTTTATGCTCTGTGTAAAGCAATTGGCAAATTTTATACTGGCAAATTGGTGTGTTTCATGAAGCCCCTAAATGCCAATACCGGTATTAATTCCTTGCCAATTAATTATATTGTTTGGTATATATGCAGACTAGTAGACACTCATTAATAATGATGAGATGCCATACGACAGCATGAATCATGTTACTTAACCACATCAAAGGCAATTAGATCAATGATAAGTATTTACATACTTCAGGCTTCCACTATTCAGCTTCAGGCAACAAAATTGACAGGGCATCAAAGGAGCTACAGTGGGTCTATTAATCTTTATTTTACAAGTATCATTACTGTCATTATCATTATTGATATTTTAAACCATTACATACATGGTCTATTCAGTTAATGAACACATGCTAACATACTCTCTTATCTCTGTTTTCTGCTTCTGCTATGTTAATATGAATAATTATCACTTATAATCACCTCAACTTCAAATACAACATGGTAGTTGGCATAAAGGAAGCACAAAGTTGAATGTTGAATAGTGGATAAGGCCTTCAATACATATATACTATGGACTAATACATACTTGTATTGGTTGATCAGGTTTTTGACACTTGAGCCGATTTCTATCAATGTTAGACAACTTTTTCCTTCTGTTCACATCGTCCCATTTCTCACAGAAAAACAGCATCACAAATATATTGAGTAGTCCACTATGTATTATGAGATAGTAGCCAGGCCAACGGAATGGATCTAGAGAAGGTATCTGAGAGGCTAGAGCTCCCAAAACTAATAAAAATTAGAAATGGTTAAAAATTATCAACGCTATACTTACCAGGACCAGATGCCAAACCTATTACAGCTATTGTGAACAGAATAAAAAAGTTTGTGTATTTAAGTGATGATGTTTTCCTGCTACTCTGCTCATCAGATTTAAGGGATGCCTCCTTTCTCATTTGAATAACTTTATCACTGGATTCGCCAATATATGTTCGAGTTAAAGATTGAGTAATTCCAGTATGGATTCCGGATATAAATCGACCTTTTTAATGCAAATATAAATAAGGAAAAAATACAACAATATGAACCTGTTATCACCATCCAGCCTTGAACAGCAAAACCGTAGATAACTCCACTTGACATGAGAACGAAAAGAGACCCAATAATGATGTATTTGTAATAGAATGAGCGAGCAAATACACTAAAGAGTAGAGCACCCACAAATATACCAATACTCTGAGCACTAACAGCCCAGGAATACCATGTCTCACTCAAACCTAGACCAGGCCATTCTACCTGTGGACATAAATTGTAAAGCTGTAATAACTAATGCTCCATGACTTATCTACTTGAGAATCACCGGTGACATTTGAGGAACTTGTTATGAACTGATGAAGTGACGGAGCAGTGATAAAGCTAGAAAGACCATGAAGATATCCCACGGCACATATAACAGCCCAGTTCAGTCTGAAACGATTGATTTCTCTCACTAAAAAGTAGAAACTCAATGCAGGAGAAGCTGGACAGCTCTATATCTACCTCTTAGCTC